CTTTTCTTACAATAATCAGGTGTTTTTGTGACTGGACAGAATTTTGTGATATATCTTAACCTCCATTTTAAACTAAAAGAAATAGTTCAGTTCAGTTCAGTCGCTCAGTCATGTCTGACTCTGCAACCACATGGAATGCAGCACACCAGGCCTCCCTGTCCACACGAACTCCCAGAGTTTACTCAAACTAATGTCCATTGAGTCAGTGATGCCATCCAACCATCTCATCCTCTGTCATCCCCTTCTCCTCCCGCCTTCACTCTTTCCCAGAATCAGGGTATTTTCCAATGAGTCAGTTCTTGGCATCAGGTGGCCAAAATATTGGAGTTTCAGTTTCAACATCAGTCCTTCCAATGAATATTCAGGACTGATTTCCTTTAGGATGGACTGGTCGGATCTCCTTGCTGTCCAAGGGACTCTCAAGAGTCTTCTCCAAGAATGAAGAGACGAAGCCAAAGCAAAAACAACACCCAGTGGTGGATGTGACTGGTGATAGAAGCAAAGTCCGATGCTGTAAAGAGCAATATTGCATATAACCTGGAATGTTAGGTCCATGAATCAAGGCAAATTGGAAGTGGTTGAACAGGAGATGGCAAGAGTGATCATCAACGTTTTAGGAATCAGCAAAATAAAATGGACTGGAATGGGTGGCTTTAATTCAGATGACCATTATATCTACTACTGTGGGCAAGAAACCCTTAGAAGAAATGGAGTAGCCATCCTGGTCAACAAGAGAGTCCAAAATTCAGTACTTGGATGCAATCTCAAAAAACAACAGAATCATCTCTGTTTCCAAGGCAAACCATTCAATATCATGGTAATCCAAGTCTATGCCCCAACCAGTAACACTGAATAAGTTGAAGTTGAATGGTTCTGTGAAAACCTACAAGACCTTCTAGAACTAACACCCCCAAAAAGAAATAATTATCTAAATGTTAAGTATTAAGTTACCCAATTATTTTGTATTTTTGCAAAAGGATTTAGAGTATAACAGCCAGCCCTGTCCAGCATCTGTATTCCATGGTAGTATAGTATTCAACTTTGCATTCCTCCTTCTCAATCTGAAGCAGGGTTCACAGGAACATCTCCAACTACCTTCAGGCCATGAGTTCCCAAAGCACTTTTAGGTATATTATAAAGTAGTAAATTAGTGAGCATGCCTCTGTCACCTAGTTAGTTATGAGTTCCTCCCAAGTAGGGCAAATCCTTAATTCTTGGTGCTCCTAAGAACATCTTCTTGGCGGGAAAGCTATGACAAACCTAGATAGTGTGTTGAAAAGCAGAGACATCACTCTGCTGACAAAGATCTATAAAGTCAAGGCTATGGTCTTCCCAGTGGTGATTTACCATTGTGAGAGGCGGACCACAAAGAAGGTAGAGCATCAAAGAATTCATGCCTGCGAACCGCGGTGCTGGAAAAGACTCCCGAGAGTGCCTTTGACAGCAAGGAGATCAAACCAGTCAATTTCAAAGGAACTCAACCCTGAATGCAAGGACTTATGCTGAAGCGGAAGATCCAGTTTCATTCCAATTCCAAAGAAAGGCAATGCCAAAGAATGTTCAAACTACTGCACAACTGCATTCATCTCACACACTAGCCAAGTAATGCTCAAAATTCTCCAAGCGAGGCTTCAACAATACATGAATGGAGAACTTCCAGATGTTCAACTGGATCTAGAAAAGGCAGAGGAACCAGAGATCAAATTGCCAACATCCATTGGATCAAAGAAAAAGCAAGAGAGTTTTAGAAAAACATCTACTTCTGCTTTATTGAGTCTGCCAACGTCTTTGACTGTGTGGATCACAATAGAGTGGAAAATTCTTAAAGAGATGGGAATACACCACCTGACCTGCCTCCTGAACAATCTGCATTCAGGTCAAGAAGCAACAGTTAGAACAGGACATGGAACAACAGACTGGTTCCAAATTGGGACAGGAGTATGTCAAGACTGTATACTGTCACCCTGCTTATNGCTGAGTGCTGAAGAATTGATGCTTTTGAACTGTGGTGTTGGAAAAGACTCTTGAGAGTCCCTTGGACAGAAAGGAGAACAAACTAGTCAATCCTAAAGAAAATCAATCCTGAATATTCATTGGAAGGACTGATGCTGAAGCTGAAGCTCCAATACTTTGGCCACCCGATATGAAGAACTGACTCACTGGAAAAGACCCTGATGCTGTGAAAGATTGAAGGCAGGAGAAGGGGATGACATAGTGTGAGATGGTTGGATGGCATCACAGACTCAGAGGACATGAGTTCCAGCATGCTCTGGGAGTTGGTGATGGACAGGGAAGCCTGGTATGCTGCAGTCCATGGGGTCACAAAGTTGGACACCACTGAGCAAATGAACTGAACTGAGCAAATGAACTGAGCAAAGAGCTGATTCACTGGAAAAGACCCCACTGCTGGGAAAGATTGAGGGCAGAAGGAGAAAAAGACATCAGAGGAGGGCATCACCAGTGCAATGGCCGTGAACTTAGGCAAAGTCCAGGAGATGGTGAGGGACAGCCTGGCGTGCTGCAATCCATGGAGTCACAAAGAGTTGGACGTGACTGGGTGGCTGAAAGCACACACACAAATATGCCGATTAGTACAATACTGAACTTCAATCAGGGTTCTGAACCAATAAAAACATGTGTAATGTCTAGTAATCAGAAATGAACTGTTGTTCAGAAACAAGTTAGGGAAGATAATCTTGCTGTTATGGGTAAAGTGATAGCATAACTTGGGAAAAGACACACGGTAAGCTACTGACCAGGTCATGCAATGTTCCCCTCTGTATGAAAGACTTATTTCCTGTATTGACTTTGCTTATGGGTTGTTAATAGGAAGCACACATACACACAGACATATATAAAACAGGTTGTTCTACAGAAAAGAGAGGTAATCTCTAGAACTTATTTACAAATAAGAACTGAACTTCATTTGGTGGTCCATAGGAATCACAAAGGTTATTGCTCATAAATCAAATACTGTTATGTTGCTGTGTATTATTTTTGACTAAAAATTGGTTCTGGCTTTATATAAAATTATACCTAAATCAGTAATCATAAAAGCACTGCCTTTTCTCTGGTTTCTGTTCACTGACTTCTAGAACTGATTTTTCTTTCTTTTTTTTTTTTAACTATTCCCTTATTGTGTTTACCTTTTCAATTTTTTTCAATTTGTTCACTGAGCCAGGGGGAGGTGCCTTTATACAAGATCTTGGACCTGGAAAGAGCAAGAAGGGCCAGTGATGACTGTCCTAAAAAGGCCACATGCTCATTTCTTACTTTTAGAAGACCATACTTGCAGATCAACACCATCACTGAAAAAAACAACATCTGAGTCCTACTCTACCCTGCAATGTTTCATAAACATTGAAATTATATTTTCTTTGTTCTAACCCCAGCCTCTGAATCAGAGCCAACTAGAGTGAGTTCTTCATAAATATGCATTGACTACCTGATTCAGAATTAATGAAAAGCAGGGCTCTGATTAGCAAATGCTACCTGCAGGAGGCAGAAAAAATACCACAAATGGAGGTATGATGCTATTAGCAGTTTTATTTTTTCTTCAGGCTTGGGAATAATCACTTATATCTCTGTTTAGACCTTTCCAGATCTGAAGGTAATTTACAATAGAGTACTCCATGTGAAGCCCTCTTCCACCCAGTGCTGGAGGAAGGGGGCAAGGTGCTTCTAACAATTTATTCCTTTCTTGCCATTTTAGCTGCTCACCAGGATTCACACAAACCCTTACATCCGAAAGATGTAATCAGCAATAAATATTGTACTTGTTTTGATAACTTGTTAATATAGATCTCTGTATACAAAATAAAAGGTCATGAGGTTACGATTATTTCTAGGATTTGTTCAATTGCTAAGTCGTGTCTGACTATTTGCAGCCCCACAGATTGCAACATGCCAGGCTTCCCTGTCCTTCGCTATCTCCTGGAGGTTACTCAAACTCATGTCCACTGAGTTGGTGATTTCTAGAATATGGAGCAAATTAAAATTTAATGTACTCATGGACTGTATACTTGGATGCCTCTTCCCTTTTTGGGGTAAAACGACTGCTCCCAACTTCCTGAAGGTCTGACTAGGAAAAAGAAAAAAAAACTCAAACCAAAAAAGTCCTTTTTTGAAGCACCTGGCCCAATAGTTGGATTTTATGCCAAGTCCAGAGCTTTGTCAGCTTGCAGAACACGCATTAGCAAGAGGCTCCGGGCCACTGGCAGGCCGGCCCGGAGCATCGTGAGGAGGAGGAGCCATCAGCGCCCAGGGACCCCGGCCTCAGAGCCTGTTGCTTGCGAACCAGACGACAGAGCAGGTGCGACTCGGGCCGCGAGCTGCTGGCGGTGAGGGAGGCTAGACTTCCACCCGGGCGGCGAGCACGCAGACCCCTTCCCACGCTCAGGTTGGAACCTAGCCATGTGCGCCCAAGCCCTTTCTCCCGTTTAGCCTCTCTCCTGCCGACTCAGACCCAACCCCACTCTCCGGACCACGGGCGACCCCACTGTTATTAAAACCAGAGGGTGGCGGNCTGGCGGTGAGGGAGGCTAGACTTCCACCCGGGCGGCGAGCACGCAGACCCCTTCCCACGCTCAGGTTGGAACCTAGCCATGTGCGCCCAAGCCCTTTCTCCCGTTTAGCCTCTCTCCTGCCGACTCAGACCCAACCCCACTCTCCGGACCACGGGCGACCCCACTGTTATTAAAACCGGAGGGTGGCGGAAGATGATTTGCAAGGATGAAGGAGCCAGCGCGGCCTTTCTCTTTGGCCCAGCCTTGGAAAAATCTGAAAGCTATTGAGGAAGGACAGGAAGAGCCGAAGTCACGGGGTGAAAGAGGGCGCCCGGGGTAGAGTAAGCCAGCAGCTCCCTTGTCTGTCCCCCCCGCAGGTGGTACAGTCCAAAGCGGGGCGGGGCGACGGGAGGCTCCGCCCGCTCTCCCCGGGCCCCTCTCCCGCCTTCCCCGCCGCGCCGCCGCGGGAGCTAGTGAGCGCGCGCCCCAAAGGACCCACCTGCGGCGGCGGCTGCGATGCCCACCATGCGGAGGACCGTGTCGGAGATCCGGTCCCGCGCCGAGGGTAAGTGGCCGCCGCAGCGCCGGGCTGGGTGCGGAGCGCGCGCGGAGGCGACTCGGAGCCAGCCGGGAGTGGGGCGGTGTGTGTGTGTGTCTGTCGGGAAAGATGCCCGTCCCAACCCTTCCCCGAGGCTGTTGTGCCTGGTCCCTGGCGAACCCTTCTCCCTGCACTGTTCGGCGCCCTCGCGGACCCCTTCGCGGCTGCAGAGCCCCGAAATTGGTGTCCTCGGTGGGATCCCCACGGCTCTTTTTACGCCGCAGCGTGACTGTTCGGTCTCTGCGCTCTCGCCCTGCCCACCTCCCTCCCCACTAGCGCACAGACCTCTAGGTCTCCACTCGGCTTCTCCGTTCTAGGGCTGCGGATCCCCAACCCGCCGCCCACCTTTGTGCAGCCCCCACATCACGACACCCCGAGAGCTGAAATTGCCTTTCCCAGGATGCAGGATCGGTAGATCCGCAGCCCCTCGCCACTCGGAGCGGGAGGAGCCTTGATTGGGGTTGGGCGCTCAGCGGGCGCTGTGCATTACAGTCTCTGCAGTTCTGCCTCTTGCAGCGGTGTCTCACCCAGCTCCATTCCGCGGTTTTGTTTCTGTGTTTCCGATTACCTGATACCTGCACTTTGGCCAGCTGAGTTGACTTTTTAGCAAGGTGGAAGCTATTTTCTTTGCTCCACCCAGGGCCAGCTGTTGAATGTCAGCGATGAGCAACAGATGCCCGAGGGTAAAGGCAAATACACTTTTGGAGGGCTGAGACTCTTCATCCGCTGAGGAGCCCTCAGCATCCTGCCCAGCATATGGCCGTCAATTGGTAAATGTTTTTTTATTTTGTTCACGGTGAAGCCAAGACTGTACAGATCATGAGCTTTGTTTTCTTTTTGTTTTTCTCCCCCATAAACCCATACTTGAATCCTGCCAAGGGTGGCTCACGTTCTCATAACTTGTTTATGAGAACTTGGCTGTGGTCACTGGTGTCCATCCTTCACCCCCACCCCTTCCACCCTTTAATGTTTGGCAACTGCTAAAATGATTTTAGGAGAAAAGCTATAGAAGTTAGGAGAATTGGATTGCAGGGGGTTGAGGGCCATTTTATTATTTTTCCTCCTCTGAGCCTTGATTTTAAAAATGGGGCCTCTGGGCTCTAATGGGCTTCCAAGGTGGCTCTGACAGTAAAGAAGCTGCCTGCAATGCAGGAGACCTGGGTTTAGTCCCTAGGTCAGGAAGATCCCATGGAGAAGGGAATGGCTACCCACTGCAGTATTCTTCCCCAGAGAACTTAATAGACAGAGGAGCCTGGAGGACTGCAGTACATGGGGTCGCAAAGAGTGGGGCTCTCATAGCTCTGCTTTTCTGATTACAACACTTTGGAAATTCTCAGTGGCACGTCTTGGGAGAAGGCCACACAAGAGTCAGAAAACCTGTGTCCTGCTTAGGAATTTCATACACACTTACTGTCATTTGTAATATAATGAAAAATGTACAGGGCACCTTGTAGATGTACACTGTCTTTAAATGTACACAGTGGAAAAAATGTGTACATTCTTTTTTTATACTTCTGAGCAAAATGAATTTTCTTTTCTCTTATTTTTTCTTCCACTTTTATTGAGCTATAATTGACATGGCATTATGACATATGACAATGATTTGACTTCCATACATCATGAAAAATTATCATATTGTTTAGTCAACATTCATCAAATCATTCAACAAAATTAAAGAAACAGAAAAAAATTTTTTCCTTATAATGAGAATTGTTGAGACTTACTCTTCTAACATTTCATATATGAACATAATTATATTTATCATGTTGTACATTACATCCCTAGTATTTATTTATCTTATAACTGGATGTTTGTATTTTTTGATCGCCTTCACCCTCTCCCCCACACCGCACCTCTGGTAACCACCAATCTGATCTTTTTTCTGAGTTTGTTTTGAAGTATAATTAACCTATAAGAGTATGTTAGTTTCTGTTACGGAACATAGTGATTCGATATTTCTAAACATTTCAAAATGATCTGCATAATGTTTAGTTACCCTCTGTCCACATACAAAGTTATTGCATAATTATTGACTATATTTGCCTCACTGTACATTTCATATACAAGACTCAGGTATTTTGCAACTGAAAGTTTGTATCTTTTAATCTTCCTCACCTGCTTCTCTACCTTCCCCACACCAATTCCCACTGGCGACCACCTGTTCGTTCTGTGTATATATGACACTTTCTCTTTTGTTGTGTTTGTTCACTTGTTTTATAGATTCCACATATAGGTGAAATCATGCAGCACTTGTCTTTCCCTGACTTATTTCACTTAGCATAATACCCTCTAGATCCACTGATGTTGCTGTAAATGGCAAGATTTCATTCTTTTTTTTAATGACTGAGTAATATTCATATATATACATACACACACATATACATGCACACACCCTGCATCATCTTTATCCATTCATCTATTGATTGCACTGAGGTTGCTTCCATATCTTGGCTATTATAAAAATTGCTCAAATGAACACAGTGATACATATATCTTTTCTAATTAGTGTTTTTGTTTTCTTTGGATAAATACCTAGGAGTGAAATTGCTGGATCATATGGTAGCTCTATTTTTAATTTTTTGAAGAACCTCTGTACTATATTCAGTAGCAGCTGCATAAGTTTACATTTCCACCCAACAATCACCCTCACCAACAGTTGTTATTTGTTGTCGTTTTGATAATAATGAATGAATTTTCTTAATCATCATTTGAGTGAGCCATGAAAGTATGAAAATATAGTGGTAATAGTTGGGATCGTGCTTTCAAATAATAGCAGTTGCTGGATTCCATGTCGTGTGAAATGGGAAGAGAGAAAGGACCAGAGAGCTATGTGAAACTTCTACCACATGAGAGGATTTTATCTGAGAGGCAACAGTATTGTTTTTGATTGACATGTATATTTTTCAAGGCATTTTTACAGAGATTACCCTATAGGACCTTACAGCGCCATAAGGTTGTGAAGGTTGGTGAAGATGGTCCCACCTGATGGTTGATGAAATCGTGTCCCAAGTGATGGAGGTGCTTGCTCCACTGTCAGAGGCATGGTGGCCGTCGGTGAACGGCCCTTCCCCCACATTGCTTGGTTCAGTTTATCATGTGCTCAGCATTTTGCCTGGGGCTGTGGTGAGGGCATCAGTGACGACGCGGTGGGCTGGCGATGTGGCTCATTGCCTGCTCCGCCCACACGCTTCTTTCCTAAAGAACAGTCTCTTTCGACAGCTCCTGCTGCCTGATGGCGTTGTTCTGAACTGCAGCCTCCCTGGCTTCAGCGGGCTGGACCGGGGTGGGCTTCTGACAAACAGCAGACAATCCAGAGGTGGCTCAGCACTCGTAACCTTGGGCTTTGGCTCAAAAAGCCAAGGCTTTGTGGTGATCATCTCTCCCATGGGAAGAGCTGGGCTTGGAGACTTAGAGTGAAGGTTTCAGCAGAAGAGGGCAGAGGAGAATCGGCTGGTGGAGGAGTGAATGGCTGGCTGTCTTAGGTTGTGCAGATGCTGCTGGTATGAGGAAGCAGAAAGTGTGCACATGAACACAGAAGGATAGGAGAGAATGGCCTGGAAGGGAAGAATGACGCAGCGAGACCCAGATGCTGAGAGAGGGTGGCCCATCCCTAGCACACCTACCCCCGACTCTAGAGCACCTCCCCTACCCCCCATCTCTTTTTGTCCCAGTTCAACAAGTAGCCTTAGAACAGGCTGTTATTTTTACTTTAAGCCATTTGAATGGGTTTCTATTCCCTGCATCCAGATTGGCCAGATGCATGGCTGCTCTGTGTGCAGGTTATTTACAACCAAATCGAGGAGAAAGAACGGCCACGAAATAAGAAATAGTCTAGGAGGGGATGTTATTAATTGAACAGTGTGATTGCTATGGGTAGCAAAGAGCCGTGAAAGATCAGACATAAGAACATGAAGCCTGCGAGGAAACATTCCTTGAGGAATAATTTGAAATGAGTCCTCACGCAATGCTTCTCAAACTTTAAGGCACGCACCCATCACCTGGGGATGTTGTTAGATGCAGCTTCTAGATAAGTGGGGCTGGAGATGCATTTCTAACAAGCTCGCGGGTGATGCCGGGTGATGATCTGCAGGTCACAGTGTGAGAACCAGGGACAATGCCGTCTCTTTCAGTAGTCAGGCACTGAGGTTAGAGGAACCAACTGAAAAAGTGCTGAACATGACTGTGGCTTACTTGAGAGTTCTTAAACTGGCCAGGGATGGAGGGACACTGAGAAGGAATGGCACATAAATTTGGATAAATAAATGCTTCTAGATTATAGAGTATTTTAAGTACCAGGATGAGTCATTTGGAGTTTGAATCAAATATTTTAAAAGAATCTTAGAGTTCTTCTAATCCAGTTCTCATTCAAGCATGAGGTCAAAGTAAAATACCTTCAAAAGGGCCAGTTAGGTGCCAAATCACTGTAGGGAAGTGACATCCCCAAAGTATGTTGGATGGTTTGTAGGAAATATAAATAGACTATTGTGTGTGTGTGTGTGTGTGTGTGTGTGTGTGTATGTGTTTAAGGTCTGAAAATGACAAAGACCGGGATTAGTATTGGAGTGGAGCAGTGAGACTGGAAAGGGAGGAATTAGAGCTATTTCTCAACAAATCATTATCTTGTTTAACAGATAATCTATTGAACTCCCATAAGTACCATTCTTGAAATTTCAAGAAATTTCAAGTACCATACTTGAAATAAATCAGTGAGCAAACAGAATAGAAAAAGCCCTGCCCTGGAGGGGCTAACATTTTAGTGAGGCAAGAGACAGAGCAAACACAGAAAGTTAGCAAGTTATAGACTTTGTTATGCGATCAGTGCTATAGGACAAGTAAAGAGAAGGCAAGATGCATAAGGTTGGTGGATGAACTGCAACTTTAAATGGGTTGGTTAAGCTAGCCTCATGGAAAAGTCGATGTGAAGGAGGTGGATTAAGCCTGCTGGGAATCAGGGGGAAGAAGGTTCC